AGAAATGAAGAACAAGAATAAGGGTAACTATAAATTGCTATTGATTATTAAAGGCAAAAATAATAGTTTCTTAAAGGATTTAAAATATACATAAAATTTTAATTCATGACAATAATAATGTAAAAGGCAGGTGCTATAAACAGAGTTAAGGAATTTTAAGGTTCTAAGCATTATCATGGGAGTAGTAAAATTAAATAATTTGTATTAGACTCTTGTAGATCAAAGATGGATGTTGTAATCTCTAAGATAATCACAAGGAGAATAATTTTAAAATTAATCGAAGGAAAAAAATAAATATCTAAATAATCAAAAAGAAGAAAAAACTTTAGGGACAAATAGCAAAAATTTAGATGGTATATATAAGTGGATAGATATCAAATATTACATTAATTGCAATTGGATTAAATAATCCAATTAAACAACCAATATTGTCCGATTAGGTTTAAGAAAAATTCAACTATATGCTGTCACATAACTGTGTGTGTCTCTGTGTGTGTGTTATGACAGAAAGTTTGAAAATTTTAAAATAGAAAAAGATACATGACACAAACACTAACCAAAATAAACCAAGTATAGATATACTCACATAAGACAAAGGAGACTTTAAGGAAAGATGCATTACTAGAGATAAAGAGAGATATTTCATAATGATAAGGAGGTAAATATACCAGAAGTATGTCAATTCTAAGACTGAATATATCCCCATAATTACAAAATATAGAAAGTTAAACTGAAAGAACATAAATAAGAAATAGATAAATCCAGTCATAGGAAGAGGATGTATTACAACTCTCTCAACCCCTGATAGAATAAGAAGACACACCTAATATTAAAAATCTGAACAACACAATAATTATATCTGAATAAACTGACATACATAGTACACTGGAGAGTACACATTCTTTTTATATGCACATGCATATATCAAAATTATCCATATTCTGGGTCATAAGGCAAGTCTCTAATTTTTTTTAAAGAATTGAAATCACTCAATATGCTCTCTGACAATGAAATTAGGGCAGAAATAAAAATTTAAAAGAAATACCCAAATGCTTCAAAATTAAATAATATAATCCATCAGTCAAAGAAGAAATCACAGAAGAAATTTACATATATTTTGAACTGGGTAAAAGTTAAGATCTGATATATCAAAACAGATTTTACAGGGAAATTTTAAAATTTTAAATGCACAGGTTAGAAAAGAAAGGTTAAAAATCAATAATCTAAGCTTTCATCTGAAGAAGCTAGAAAAAGAACAAATCAAATACCAATGTAGAAGGAAGAAAATAATACATATATATATATAAACATAAATAAATACAAAGCTGACAAATATACAACCAAGAAGATTAACAAAACTTAAAGTTGGTTCCATGTAATAATTAATAACTCTTATTAAAAACTCGTCATAAGGGGCTTCCCTGGTGGCGCAGTGGTTGAGAGTCCGCCTGCCGATGCAGGGGACGCCGGTTCGTGCCCCGGTCTGGGAAGATCCCACATGCCGCGGAGCGGCTGGGCCCGTGAGCCATGGCCGCTGAGCCTGCGCGTCCGGAGCCTGTGCTCCGCAATGGGAGAGGCCACAACGGTGAGAGGCCCGCGTAACTCCCCCCCGACAAAAAAAAAAAAAACTCTTCATAAGACTAATGTTAAAAAGAAAGAAAACATCGATCATAAATATCAGGAATGATAAAGGTACATCACTACCAATCCTACAGACATTAAAAAATAAAAGAGGATGTTATGAACAACTGTATGCCAATAAATTTGGTAATTTATGTAAAATGGAAAACATCTTTTAAAAACACAATATACTGAAACAAGAAGAAATCTGATTAGTCATATCTTAAGTAAATTAAACTTGTGATTAAAAACCTTGCCACTTCAGTTCACACTAGTGAATTCTTCTAAATACTCATGGAACAACTAACACCAATTTATACAAAATCTTTTAGAAGACAGATAAACAGGAAATATTTCCCAGATTATCTGGGTACCAGCATGACTTCAATGGATTATGACATCCAAACCTGAATAGGACATCATAAGGAAGGAAAACTAGAGACCAATCTCTTTTACAAACACAGATGGAAACATTCTAAACAAAATATCAGTAAATAAAATTCAGAAATATATAAAAGAGAAATAATAAATTATGAGAAAACTGTGTTATTTTAGGAATGCAAATCCAATCAATATACTACATTACATTAATAGGTAAAGGAGTAACATCATATGATTACGTCAATGGATACAGAAAAAAGTCACTAGTGAGCACACACTCATGGTAAAATTGTTAGCAAACTGAAAACCGAAGGGAACTTTCAGAAAGTATTTTAAAACCTACAGTAAACATTATCCTTAATGGTAAATTATTTAAAACTTTCCCTCAGGGATCAATAATGAGACAAGAATGCTTGCCTTTACTATTTCACTTCAGTGTTTTACTATAGGTTCTAACCAGTGGAATAAAGCAAAGAAAAAATAAAAGACACAATGATTGGAAGAGAAGAAATAAGTCTTTTTTAAAAATGACATGATTGTATACATTAAAAGTCATAAAGAATCTGTAGACTATTAGGATTAATAAATGAAGTAAGTAATGCCACTGGATATAAGGTCTACATGCAAATAATAATTGTATTTCTATACAGCAACAAAACCCAGAAAATTAAAAATTTCAAGCATCATTTACAATAGTTTCAGAAACATCAAATATCTAGAAACAAACATAACAATATGCATAAGACTTCTACACTGAAAAATATAAAATATTATTGAGAAAAGTTAAATATCTGAATAAACAGAGGAATATATAATGTTCAATAGTTGGAAGACTCAATATTGGGAATATGTCAGTTCTTCTCAACCTACAGATGCAATAAAATCCTAAACAAAACTTCAGATTTCTTTGTGGAAGCTGACAAGCTGAATCTAAAGTTTATATGGGGACTTCCCTGGTCATCCAGTGGTTAAGACTTCGCCTTCCAATGCAGGGGATGTGGGTTCAGTCCCTGATCGGGGAGCTAAGATCCCACATGCCTTGTGGCCAAAAATCCAAAACATGAATCAGAAGTAATACTGTAACAAATTCAATAAAGACTTAAAAAAAATAGTCCGCATCAAAAAAACATCTTTAAAAAAAGAGAAAGGTAAAGTTTATATGGAAATACAAAGGGACAATAATAACCAAAGCAGTCTTAAAGAAAAAGAATAAAACTGGAGGACTTAGCAATCAGATACTAAAACCTATTATGAAGTACAGTAATTAAGATAATATTGTATTGTGGGATAAACAAAGAGAAAAATGGGAAAAAAAGGCTCTTGAACAGAAGTATGGACCCCTGATTTATGAAAAAAATGGCACGTCAGAAACAATTGGGAATGGAACTTCTTTTCAATAGATGGTGCAGTCATTTGGATATTTATATGAAAAAAAAATAATTTGACCCTAACCTCATTAACATGAAAAAATAATTTCAGGAGGATTATAGCTCTAAATGTGAAAAGTAAAGTAATTAATTTTTCAAAAGCACCATACAACAATATTTTCTTCACTTTAGTGTATGCAAAGATTTAAAGAAAACACAAAAAGTTCTAACCATAAATAAAAAATATTGAAAAATTAGAGTAAAAGTTAAGAAGTTTTGTTCTTCAAAGATACCACAAGAGAGTTAAAATGCATGCCATAGAATGGGAGAGAATATTTGCAATACATACTTCTAAAAAAGTACTTATACCCAGAATATATAAGGAACTTCTAAAGATTAATAAGAAAAAAAGACAAATACCCTAAATAGAAAAATAGACAAAAAACTTATGTACTTCACAAGAATATACACTAATAAAAATAAACGTGGAAAATGTGCTCAATTTAATTAATCATCAGGGAAATGCTAATTAAAATTACAATATGACATCATTACACACTCATCAGAAAGGTTAAAATTAAAAGATATTATCAAATGTTGACAAGCATATGGAGCAACTGGAACTCTCACTCTGCTGGTTTTGGTAAAAACACAGTTGAAAACTGTTTTGCAATATCTATTAAAGATATATATATGTGCACATCTTAAGACACAACAGTCTAACTCCTAGGAATATAGTAAATATAAATGCACACATAGACACCAAAAGACATATACAAGAGTGTTCATAGCAGCACTACTCAAAATATTCCCAAACTGAAAAACCCCAGTGTCCATCAACTGGAGAATAAAAAAACAAATGGTGGTATAGTCATACAATAGAATACCATAAAGCAATGAGAATAAAATAAATTAGAACAATATGTAACAGATGAATTTTACAAAGGTAATGTTGAGTGAAAGAAGACAAACATAACACTCTATAACTCCATTTGTATAAAAGTTCAAATGCTCTATGATAATAGAAATCAGGAGATTTCTATTATCATAGAAATCATAGTTATATCTATTTCTATGTTATATCTATATATCTCTCTATATATCTCTCTCTATCTCTCTCTCTCTATATATTTCTATGTTATATCTATTTCTATTATCATAGAAATCATAGTTATATTTCTATAACTCCATTTGTATAAAAGTTCAAATGCTCTATGATAATAGAAATCAGGAGAGTGCTTACCTTTGGGGGGAGGGGGCAATGAGAGGAGGGGGCTTCTAGGGTTTTTGTAACATTTTAATTTTAATTTAGGTTTTGCTTATGAGTGTGTTTACTTCCTGAAAATTTTTTGAGTTGTACACTCATGATTTATGCCCTTTTCTAATATGTAATATTTTAAAATAAAAATAACTTTAATAGTGTAAACTTTTGTAAACATCCATTATTGCTTATTTCGTGAATATAATCAAATAAGAATCACACAAAAGAAAGTTTCTTCAAGTACTCAAAAGATATTTTATGAGGAATACTAGTGTTTTAGTTTGTTCTGAATAGTATTCTTTCGCTGGAAGTTAACTTAGCACATGTTTATTTAGAACTTACAATAACTGAGAAGTGGAGATACAACTGGGAACACTTCTGTGACTTTCTAACTTGGAAAGAGACGGCAAATACTATATGCAATAGTAAATAAGGACGCCTGGTGGTGCTGCAGGCTAGGAGTAGGAATGAATGGCTCTGTGGATACCCGGGAAGCCATTAAGCTGGGAATCAGAACTCTGAATGCTTTCTAAAAGAAGGAAGCATTTTACATAAGATCTAGAGGCAGAGATCTCCAGAGAAGGGCATCGTTCTACTGCAGGTCAGTCAGAAAGATCTAATTCGAGTTTATTTAACCAAATCATCTGGGTTGATTGCATACGGAATTGAAGAAACTGCAAGTTCTTGAACCGGGTCTGAACAATGGAGACTGCACCAGCAAAAACGCTACAGAAAAGGCAAGTTATCTTTCTTGCTATATTATTGCTTTTGTGGGAGGCTGGCTCTGAAGCAGTTAGGTATTCCATGCCAGAAGAAACTGAAAGTGGGTCTTTTGTGGCCACCCTGGCAAAAGACCTGGGGCTCAGGGTGGGGGAACTGGCCACTCGGGGCGCGCGAATCCATTACAAAGGAAACAAACAGCTCTTGCAGCTGGATGTAACGACCGGGAATTTGCTTCTATATGAAAAACTAGACCGGGAGGTGCTGTGTGGGGCGACAGATCCCTGCATACTGCATTTCCAACTATTACTGGAAAACCCGGTGCAGTTTTTTCAAGCTGATCTGCAGCTCACAGATATAAATGACCATTCCCCAGAGTTCCTCGAGAGGGAAATGCTCCTAAAAATCCCAGAAAACGTCCAGACAGGGACTGTGTTTCCTTTGAAAATAGCTCAGGACTCTGACATAGGTAGCAACACTATTCAGAATTACACAATCAGCCCCAACTCCCATTTTCATGTTGTCACTCATAATCGCGGAGATGGCAGAAAATACCCAGAGCTGGTGCTGGACAAACCGCTGGATCGGGAGGAAGGGCCTGAGCTCATTTTAACCCTCACGGCGCTGGATAGTGGGGCTCCGCCCAGGTCCGGGACCACTGCAGTCCGCATTGAAGTCGTGGACATCAATGACAACGCCCCTGAGTTTTTACAGTCGGTCTATGAGGTACAGATTCCGGAGAACAGCCCCCTAAACTCCTTAGTTGTCGCTGTCTCCGCCCGAGATTTAGATGCAGGAACGAATGGGAATGTAGCCTACGCTCTATTCCAAGGTGATGAAGCTACTCAACCATTTGTAATAGACGAAATAACAGGAGAAATTCGTCTGAAAAGGGCATTGGATTTCGAGGCAACTCGATATTATAACGTGGAGATTGCAGCCACAGATGGCGGGGGCCTTTCAGGAAAATGCACTGTAGTTATAGAGGTGGTGGATGTGAACGACAACGTCCCCGAACTGACCATGTCGACGCTCACCAGCTCTACCCCAGAAAACTCCCCAGAGACTGTGGTGGCCGTTTTCAGTGTTTCTGATCCAGATTCCGGGGACAACGGTAGGATGGTTTGCTCCATCCAGAATGATCTCCCCTTTCTTTTGAAACCCACATTCAAAAACTTTTACACCCTAGTGACCGAGAGGCCACTGGACAGAGAAAGCAGAGCGGAATACAACGTCACCATCACCGTCACAGATATGGGGACACCGAGACTGAAAACCCAGCACAACATAACCGTGCTGGTGTCCGACGTCAACGACAACGCCCCC